TCGGGCTCTGCTCCCAGGGAACGGGGACAGGAGGAGAGGAAACAGCCTGAAGATGCACTAAGGGAGATTTAGTTTGGACATTGGGAAGAAGTTCGTCAGAGAAAGAGTGAAAAGCATTGGGACAGGCTGTCCAGGGAGGTGATAAACTTGGAGGAATTTAAAACGCATGTAGGTGTGGCACTTGGGGATATGGTTTAGTGTTGGCCTTAGCTGGGTTAATGCTTCACTTGTTGATCTTAAAGATCTGTTCCAGCTTCAACTATTTTATAATGTCAGAAGCACTGGAAGTTTTTATTAGCATTTGCTGAAATCTTGCTGCTTTCTGCTTGTTGCATCTTTTTTTTTGCTCAGAATGTGAAGCAGTTCTAAGTGGCATACACTTTATAGCTGAGAACTTTGGCATTTTAGAGATGTTGTATAAGAACAGAATCTTTTCAGAAGAATCTTTTCATTGATGTGCCAATTTTTTAAACTTTTTATTAAATTAGATTGTTTGTCTTCAGAGAGTACTTCTTTGAAGGGTATTGTTCAGCAAAGAGGGTTAGGTTAATCTTTGTGCAGGCATGCCAAAGAGAGTGGAGGGAGATCTGATTTGAAAAGACAAAGTTCTAGTTCCAGGTACGTCTCTAAATTTAGAAAAGCTGTCACCAATGCTGTGCTTAAAGAAACGAAAAATAAAAGTACCAAAAAAATTTCTTGTGCCTGTCTAGTCACATTTCCATGGTGATGACCAAAAGCATTGAACTCAGTTTGAAATCCAACTTCATAGCAAATGYGCTCTACCTTGAAAATTAAAATAACACTGAAAAATTAAAACAAAATACTCCAAACCCTTTGGACAAAGTAGCAATCTTATTCCTTACATAGTAAACTGAAAGTTAGTATTTATTTAGAAGTGCTTGGAGTATTCACTTCTTGTAGCTTGATATCATGGATTAACTTGAAGATGCCAATTAAGTAGTTAACAATCGGCTAGTTATCAAACAACACAAGCACATCCTGCCTCTCCATGGTTTTTAAAACTTTTGGATTCTTCTTTTTTTTTTGAATATGTGTAAATTGTGCATTCTAGATCGCATGAACTTTACAGAATGGGATTGTGGTGTGGAACTGTATTGCACATCTGTGAAATTCTGCCTGATACCTGGCTACTTCTAGCCCAAGTAAATGTGAAAATGTGCTTAGACTAATTCAAGTTTATAATTAGAGGGGAAAATATATTGTTTTGTATTAATTTCTGGAGTTAAAGACAATAATATTAAATTTTTAAAAAATGTTTTTCTTGTCTGAATACCTTAAAATTAATAAATACCACATGAAGAGTGTATATTATTGTGAGACAGAACACAAGTGACGCTGACAGAAATCCTGTTTTAAGCACCACAAAACCAAAACTTTGTCTTTAAAGGTGTCACAGGCTGCTGAAGGATGGGTGCTCAGAAGAGCTCCATACTGAATAGCTAGATGCAGAAATTCTGGGAATTACATTTTATAATACAAAAAAAGGTAACCAGTTTCTCAGGGTTTAAGCTGAATTCTGTTGGAGACATTAATGCAGTGTGTCCAGGGTGCGTTAAATGATTCCCAGCTTTCATGCTRATAGTTCTCTATCTCTGGTAAACTTCTCTGTGTGAGAATTTTGTTGGCATTTTCTTAACTGTTCTGGTAAAGTGTGTCAGATTCAGCACAACTGCAGACATGAACTAGTTGGCTGTACCTAATTTTGTCATTAACCTGGTAAAATTAGAAGAAGCTGCCTTGTGCCCATATAAAATAAGTTGTTCAGAATCTGCTTTATCAGCTCAATTCTTGGGCTAGAAGGGCATATTCCTGATTAATCCAGTTGCTGTTCTGAGTTTTTTCTATTAAGTACACCCAGTTTCTGTAAAAAGAAATCTTAAAATTTGCTTCAGGAATAGAACTGAAGTTAATTTAGACAATAAACGCTCTTTGCTTTCCTCTTCTGTTTTTTCTCTGTTTCATTTTATTGGAATAAAGTGAAGATAGGAGGATACCRTACAAACACTGCTATCATCTGAAATGTGATTCTTCAGTGTATTATTAGGCAAGACACAGTTGTTCAAGAATTTGAAACATCTGTCTTCTGTAGGAAAAAGAAACTGCTCAGCATAAGGTCAGTGCTGAAATCTGACATCTTCCAACAGTCCAGACAGTGAATGCAAGGTTTACTCAGAGTGAATACTCCTAATTTATAAGGTGAATCCTCATTTCTAAGGCCTAAGTGAAGTCTGAAAATGAGTAGCAACAAAGAAACAGCATTTCACACTAAGATGAGAATCAAGAATGTGTTGTAAATAGTAATTTGCATCTTTTCTGATAAAACTTAACTGTTAAGCAATCAAAAGCCTTTTGTGAAATGTGTGAAATTGTTCAGCAAGGAATAGATATAATATGAAGGCTGACAGAGACATACTTTAGTATTCCCAGGCTGGAATAGCCCATTGCACACTGATCTGCCAGTGGGCTGTATCTACATTCAGGAAGTAGAATATGGTGATCAAAATGCCATCCCAAATWAAAACTGCTGCAATCTAGTGTGATAAATAGCTTATGCACTAGTCCTGCAGCTGGCTTGCACAAACCCTGGTGTCAGTTATTGCTGGTGGGTGAGAGGTTGGACATGACGCAGCTTTGAGCTCTGACATCCCAGAAAGCCAAACATGTCCTGGGCTCATCCTGCAGCATGGGCAGCAGGGGAGGTGGGGATTCAGCCCTTCTGCCCTGCCCAGGTGAGACCCCCCMTCCACAGCTGCCTCCAGCTATGGGGTCCCCAGAGCAGGAAATACATGGACCTGTTGGAATGGGCGACAAAAATTATTTAAGGGCTGGAGCACCTCTCCTATGGAGACAGGCTGAGAGAACTGGGGTCAAAGGCTCCAGAGAGACCTCAGAGCAGCCTGCCAGTACCAAAAGGGATCTTTTGAGAATGGTGCAAAACAGACATTTCAGCAGGGCTGCAACGATAGGACAAGGGATGATGGTTTTAAGCTGAAGAAAGGTCAAATCTGACAATATTGGGAAGAAATTAGGATGAGGGTGGTGAAACACTGAAACAGGTTACCCAGAGTGGTGGGAGATCCCCATCCCAGGAAACATTCAAGAACAGCTTGGGTGAGATACAGATCTAGTAAAAAAYGTCCTGGCTTATTGCATGTGAGTTGGACTAGATGGCTTTTAAAGGTCGCWTCTAACCCAAGCTATTCTATRATTCTTTGATTCTGTGAAAAAGGSTTTCTTCAGCGTTGTTGTAGCAAGTTGTCACGGGAATTGAGGCAGCCTTGCTGATACTGCCAGTGCCATGTAGTTCTTAAGAAAAGGAACTAAAGGACAAAAAAGGAAGAAACGTGCATCTGAAAAAAAAAAACAAACCAAACATGCATCTACTTTGTTGTCTTTGGCTGAAATTTTATCAAGCTTGCTGGCACCTTTTTCCACAACAATTGATACACAATTTTTTCTTATGGTAATCATTTCAATCAGAGTCACGTTTAATTTGGTCAAGTTTTCTCCTTCCCCTTAAAAGAACTCTGTTATCAGACAGTTGAGTGTCAAGGCTAGATTAGATAGTTTTGGTTTTTAAGTTGGACATTTTCTTGGCCAAATTTGGAATAAAACTGCTGGAAGATACTTTGGTCTAAAACTTTTTGGCACACACTCCTGTTTTCTGAAAATAATACCCATTTATGGTGCTGGAGTGTTTAGGAATTACGTGAAAGTATTTTTGAGTGCCTTTCAGTGGAATTTGAGTACACCTTTAGGGCACTTAACAAGTAGATTACACTGAGGAAGACGAAGATACAAATTGACATGGTTCTATTGTTGTAGCAGAAAGTCAGAGAAATCCAAGGTGAAGAAATTAGTTTTGTATTAAGGAGAGTACAGTTTCATGGCAACTGCTTTGTCACAAGTGACTTCTGCAGTTCCAAAGTTGTTTGCATGAAAACTTTGCTCCTTTTACTTACCTGCCGCCCATCATGTACCAAAGCTGGGTTCTGACTCTCCCAAAGTGAGCTGTTTCCCTGCAAAGAGGCAGTTTTTCTCTGGTGTTTTGCTTCCTAGCTCTTGGAAAC